GTAGCATTATTTCGATTAGTAGATTATAGTAGATTATATAGATAATTATAGTGGATTATTATGAATCTCTTTCAGTACATTTATATTATCATTTAATTTATATAAGGAGTACAGTTTTGAAGCACATCTCCTGGTCCCCCTCAATATGCTTTTGTTCACACTAGGGAGCAGTCTTGGAGTGCATGACCTGGATTGCTTTTGGATGAAACTATACCGAAAGATTAGTCTCCAGGAATGCTTCCATCCATATGGTCCATGTACTAACAAGTGTTCGGCTCATGGGACCAAACTAGACCTAGTCCAAAGTAACCCCCTGAAAGTATGCAATGCAAAGCCCGCAGCAGAAAGTGCTTTGCTCTACAGATCTTCTCCTGTTTACTACCTAGACTACACATAGCTTCAAGTTTTCCTAATGCTTTTTAAGTCTATGGATAGAGTCACTTCATGTTATCGTAACGTGCTTTTTTTGTGTCTGTTTTGTAAAACATTCAGATGGTATTGCCCACCTCTAAAGTACATACAGACAGGTCTTCTCTGATGCACAGGAACTTCTTAGCCAACAGCAGAGTGTACGTGTCTGTTCCCTCGAGGTGCATGTTCCCTCCCTGCCCACCACAGGGCAGAAAACAGGCTTGTACAATGTTTTGTGGTGTGTTACTTTTCTCACCTCTTCCCTTGTGATTTGAGAGTTGTCACATTTAGTTTGGCTTTGAGCGTGCCTGAAATTGTCCCAGTTAATTATTCCCAAGTTTCCAAGGCACAGCTGCAAACAAATGCTGTAAACTGTATCCTGGCCTGATTAGAAAGGCCTGTCTTCCTCTTTCACATGTTTTCAAACAACTATAATAAACCCTTTAAACCTTCAGCTTTGGGAGGCCCATCTACATAGCTAACTGATCGGCACTCCTCAGCAATTGGTTTCCTGAAAAGGGGACATTTATTTAACACTGATATCAATAGCATTAAACAAGTATGATAGTTGCTCCAGGTTGGAGGTACACTGCAACAGAATAGCCCCCTGCTGCCCTGACACATCTCTGCCAGTACCACTTACAAAAAGGAGTGTCAAAAATCAAGGTTTCATCCACTTCTCATCATTTCCTCCCTCCCAGGTGACTGATCAAAAGCAACTGCTCACTGGAGCCTGGCCCTTTTTCTATCTAGGATGTGGCAGTTCATGACACAGCCCCATAAAAGAAGGCAGTTCTTATCCTCTACTCTCTCACAACACAAGTGTGCAAGACAGGCTAAAGTTGTAGAGCCAAAGTAAGCATGGAAGGGATAATAAAGAGAAACAATATGAAACAGACAGGATTTCCTATAAAAATCTTCCTTTTCTACCCATAATCAACACCAGCTGAAGCCCATTTAAACTGATCGGTCAGAATTGATGTGTTTGGAAAAACTCACATCGTTAACATTTTCTGAAGTAAAGAAGCTAGAAGTGAATATATTTAGAAAGCACACATCTCAGTGTGTTTACAGTCCTCCGACTTTATTTCCAGCTTTCACAAATGCATTTAGAAAGCAGCAAAGGAAAGAGAAGGTCTGTCACTATTAAGTTTTATAATTTTTCTAAACAATACCAGAGTCTTATATATAAAAGAAGTCAAAGCATCTGCTCCAAAGAACTTACATTCACATTTTGCTACAAACAGCCAAATGTACGTGTTCTGTGCAAGGACTCTCTGTCTTCAGCTGCACTTGCATACACCAATACTACGACATACCTCCTTCACTTGATAGGGGAATCATGGCAAACCTAAAGGAAATATGATATGAACAAGAGAGCAGAACAGGCTTGAAAGACCCAACTTTTGAAAGTTCAGCTGAATGCATATCTGCATTTAAGTAGTAGTACAAAACCTACAGATACTTAGAAATATTGTAAAGAAGCATATCAGTGATGAACATTTTTGTTTTAAGTCAGCTTGTCCGAGGTCAAACACCTCAGAGTCTGCTGCTTCACAATGTCACTTACTGTAAAGATCACCATTTGGAATGGGAGAAAGCTACTCAGTGTCCCCTGCCGCAGTTTTCAGGCAACAAACCTGTGGTAAGAGTGATGTTTGTCTTCTGTTCCTAACTTAATGTTCTTCCTTAAAGAGGCCAAATGTCTTAGTGTGCTATGTAAAATTTTGGTGTTATCAATAATTATTATTTCTGGAAGATCTTTTGGTTAGGCAAAACTCACATTCAAGGGTATGGATTTCAGAAGTGGTCCCTCTCTATTTAAATCTGTTGTGTACACTTATTTTTTATGATTTGGTATCACCAACTTCCTTGATGTATTTGTTGCACAAATATAGTCTCCAGGTGAAAATTTTATAAGGGTAGAGATACAGAAAATATAATGGAGCAGAAGATCTAGGGATGCAAATTATTTTTATTATTATAACTAATAATGCTTTAATATGGATATTCTAAATACCAAGGGAGAGTAAGTCGGAGATAAAATTATGCCCTTGCTTTGGGGCACAGACTTCATATGATCCAGCCTTGAGATCTTAAGTTAGGTAAAAAGGAGAGAATTTGAAACTGAGAATTATGGAACGGAAAGGAGAAAGGCAAGAAAAATGTCCCACGGAAGGGTGGTTTTGCTGCAACAAGATTGCAAATCCACAGGGGGTAATTAAATAGCAGACTTGTACAGTATGTCAGATGTCTAGCATCTAAACAAAATCATTTAACATTTGCAACTAAAGATTTAGCTTGCTCATATGCAAGTTTTTGTTATTCCTTCCAAAAAGAGAAAAAACACCAAAAGAAATCTTAAAGGAGAATAATTAGCATTCTGTATCTTGCAGCTTTTTTAATGGCTGACATAGATTTTTCTTAAACTAAACTATTGTTAGCCACTATCCAACCTGCATATTAATGAGAAAGTGAATGCCTCTCTAAAAGTTTCAGCTACAATGTCACCATCAAAATCAATACATGACTACGCACTGTGAATACAGACACAAACTTGCTTCCAGCAGCATGTTTTGACATTCATTATTATAAAGCTAACTTGAGAGAACTTCCACTTCTCTGTGTTAAACCTAGTTTGCCACACTTACCTGCATACCCAAGGCCATACTAGCAAAGTCACATTAAATGAATTGTGATATCACCATATGACATATAGATCATTTATAGGAATGGTGTTTTGCTGGATGGGTAGTGCACTGTGCTCTGATACCTGATAGACACTTCGGTTAGCAAAAATTTATTCAGATGATAAAAATCCATGATGAGACTTCTGCAGCACCCACAAGGCCTGATGAAGACGTGACTGAGGGAACAACCTTGTGCACAGCTGTGACCGCGTTGGGGGACACCAAACTGGCCCTGCTCCTGGAGGAGGGTAATGCAACCAAGCCCATCTCTCAGTAACAGCACACCTGCTCCCTGCTCCATTATTTCAGCCCGTGGAAGCCTGATCTGGTTCCCACTGGGGATGGTGAACACTTCAGTCATACCCAGGGCATCTGGACTTGTGTTCTCGCGTTCTCTCCTGAGCTGTCGCTGCCCCATCGCCTCATCCTCATTAAGGAGAAAATCGCCAGTTGGATGACAATACAGATGCCCTAAAAAACCGGTCAGGAGCTGTGTTGCTTAGCAGCCCACTCTTTCTGGTTGATGCCCTGTTGTCCTAAACCAACCAAAAGACATTTCAGATTGAATGCTCTGCTGTGCTGGAGTAACAACACATTTAAAACCTGGACTGAGCTCCTATCTCATAGGATAGCCTGCATTCTTAACATTCCTGTCATGTGCTTTTATTTACAGGTAGAACAAATAGAAGAGAGGAAAAACAGATTTCATCATTACTGTGGCTTGATATATGCTAATGTATTCAAGATATGTGAGATTACCCACTGTGCAGAGACACCTGTAGTATTTAGGGACAACGGATGAGTTGACTTTCTGCTTTAACTCAGAATCTTCTGGCTTATGCTGGCTTCTTCCCATTATTAAATCATGCATTTTTTTTAATTTAATTTTCAAGACTTAACCTTGGGAAATTGCCACTCCATCCTCTTAGCACTTTCTAAGGAAGTCACATAATTTTATGGCTTGCCTCTAATAAAAGATACTTTGTAACCTGTGTTACCCAGCTTGCAGAGCAAAGTCAATATTTCAGCAAGTAAAGTTACTCTTTGGAGATTTTAAAAATCACATGATTTTGGAGACTTCAGTTAGCTCAAATAATCTAAGCATGTAGTTAGTCTGGAAATAAAATCATATCTTCTATAGTCTGGAAATAAAACCATATCTTTTTAATCCTGAAGACTGAATTACATCTAAGCATCTGAGCTACCATAGTACAATAGACTAACATCGTCAGCTAGTATACTTGAATAGCCAAGTATCTTTGATTGTTACAGTGATTAGTACATATGATCAGCAAGTGTAAGTACAGTAATCATCTACAATACTTAAAGTATGGTCACCTTAGTATCCTAGATCAACAAAACACATTTACTGATACAGAGCAGACTAATGGATTAAATGGAAATATATCCCATTCCTCTAATTGAATATTTGGGACTTAATGTTTTTTCATGCAGCATCAGAAAACTCACAGCTTGCAATGAGAGCTGCTACCATTTGACCCTTCTGAAATATTTTAGACTCTAAAGAGAAACAAAACAGTAAGGGCATGGGTAATATTGTATAAATGTATGCAGCTATACTTCCTCATGTCCAATGACGTCTATATATAACCCCTAAATTAATCTTTTTGCCTGTTAGTAGGAATAGATTTTTAAGGCTGGTTCTTGGCCAGAATACAGATGGTTATTAGCACTGCTTTTGGAGTGTGTCTGTGAAAGATTCCCATATGTCTGTTCCAAGAGAAAGCCAGAATTGTTACCATAGCACAAGAAATACTTGTGAGAAAGGTGGACCAAAAATCACAGAAGAGAATTCAAATCATCCTCTTTTAGGCTAAGTGCTGTTTTATGCCAGAAACGCAAAATATTTTTGTAGAAATTAAGATAAATTTATGAGTTTTTAACATGCAACTTTCTACAGGCTTGGAAGTGGATTTTAAGTCCTGTGGTGTTGTATATCTGTGAAAGAATCATTAGATTTTGGAGATTTCGACAGGAAGTGGTCATTACTAAGGTATGCAATGTAGCTTGCAGAACTGCCTAAAAAGAACTGAATGACAATTTATTTTTATTTTTTATTGATAATTTCCCTATATTATGATCCTCTTTTTTACTTCTAGTTTCAGCAGCTCTTCCTTGAGTACCACGGTTTCAACCAAGTACTGACTTTGTGTTTTGCATTTATTCCAGTAGCAAATTTATAAGCAAATTCCATACGGGAACAAACTTGATTGACAAAGTACCAGACTTATGAGACTCTACCACCATAACACATTCCCTGGTCAGAGAATATCTCTTTTTTCTGAAGTGAAACCCACACGCTACTGCAGTAAATGGCACAGAAACCATCAGCTTTAGTAGGATATAGTTTTTGCTTTCAAATCTAGAATCTTCCAAGGAGATTAGGGGATGTATTATCAATTAGGGCAAATGGTCAAAGCTTCATTAATATCATGTAATATTAATATTAATATTACAACTGTGACAATTTATCCTGGCTATAAATATTTTTATGCACTTCGGGCCTATTCAACACAGAGCAGAATGAATCAGGAGTGCTGCTATTGAAGCAGCCCAGTCTACACAAATCAAGCCGTCAATTAGAATCAAGCTTATCTTCTATGAGGGAAAAAGCATGCTGGATAAATCTTGCTGCTGATTTCACAAAGTGGCTGTGATCTGAGAATCTCAGAATAGTAGGTGTGACATGTACAGAACTGGCTGCTTACCTGAGATGAGCTCTTAATAAAAGCGTATTAGAACTGAATTCACTGGGCTTGATTCTTCCTCCAAAATCAACAATAACCCCATATAAGTCAATTGCGTTACTTGAGAGTAAAACTGGAAAAATCACTCCAGCCAATTAAAGAGTACTTTTGCACAGGCTCTACTAAGATAGAGAGTTGCCAAAGTTTTGATTTGTTACAGCCTGTACTCTGCTTCTTATATTCATAATGCAAGTTGTCAAATGTTACACACTGTAAGTGCTCTCAAGCTGTTGGGTAGCAACAGCACTACGACATATAGTACAGATCATTATCTACAACACTTTTTAAAATTATTAGACATCCCAATTGTTATTAACTTTTGGTAGAAATCAAGTAGAAATGACCATTAAGTCTTCTGTAACTGAATGGAAACAAACAGTTACCTTTTTAATAGGCCCTTTTTTATCGTTTAGGGCTTTTTTTATAGGCCCTATTTTTAAATAGGCCCTTTTATTATTGTTTAGGTGGTGATGCATTCCTCTGGAGTCCTTGAGCTTCATATGAAGAAAAGTGGCTTTAAAATGGAACCTGGTCAATATATCTTTCTACAGTGCTCATCTGTCTCACAGCTGGAGTGGCATCCTTTCACACTCACTTCAGCTCCTGAGGAAGAATTCTTCAGTGTTCACATAAGAGTAGCTGGGGACTGGACTGCAGCCCTCTTCAAGGCCTTTGGAGCAGAGGAAAAAGCTTTCAAGGAACTGTGGATGTTACCAAGGTTTGAATAATAAACAGTACATTTCAAAATGTTAATTTTTACATTGTAAAATAAATTTTAATATTTTTTTAACATTTTAATTAATGTTATGTGTATTCTGTGTGACACAGTATTAGATCACAGTCCTGGATCCATAAATTACGTCATTTTGCTAAAGAGCTATAAGCAAATATGGTCATGAACTTAGGCCAATGGCTAGCAGGAAGACCTGATGACGAATCCAAGATTTAAAGTTCATCTGTGCTTATATCTATATCTATCTATATAGATATCATCTTTATTTGCATCATCTCTATCTGTAGATACACCTTTCGATAGGTGGGTATTTCTGAATTAAATTAAAATGACATTAGAAGCTATCTGCTAGCTATTTGTCTGTATACTTATGTTCTCCTGATGGCACCCATCACCTGCTATCCAAATGTCCAGTTTTTCCCTTAGATATTCTGTGGCCCCAGAAACTTCTGTCGGAACTTTACTTTTTTTCCAGCAGTCTCTCTCAACTCTGTTACTGGCATCCAAAATCTGTTCCAATTTACAAAGGGTATCAGCGCTCAAATTCTGTGTCTTTGGCAAACAGGTGCAAACAAGTTGATTCTTCATTGGTACAAGTCAGCAGGGCTCTACTGAAATTAATGGAACCACCTTGCCTTACGCTAGCTAAATATCTGGCCATATATGTAATAAATTCAAACCATTTAGCTATTTGCTGCTGTAGTGGAAATACTAGGAAAAGAAAACAACCTGGCACAGGATAATTTGAATTCCAGTGGAGTATGTAGGGCCCAGGCCCGAAGGGGCTATTTTTCCCCCTAGAAAATTAGTTTTGATGAGGGAGCTCTAGTAAAGTGGAGCAGCAAAGGGCACTTGTTTAACTACATTTATATAATTTAATGGGACCTGGATGCTAAAGAACATTCCCCTAAAAAGCTTATAGATGCCATCAAGCTACACAGGCATACTAGAATGTGGGGGCAGAGAAGAAAGCCTGGTCCAGATCTTGCGTTATATCAGTTAATAAGAATTAGAAATGAAAGCTGTGCCTTTGTTAAATGCAGCTGGAATGAGAAGTATGCCATTTCAGCAGAACTGGGACAGAAATGGTCTGAAATGATTGACAGTCAGTGTAAAGAATGAGAAAGAGAAAAATGTTATCAAATGTTGCTGGCCACAATATAGGGTTGAAATTAACGGTGCTGTCACGTATGAAGACCCTTCTTTTTAATCTTGTTAGGGTGCCTAATGCCGTCATTCAGTTGGTTGCATTCTTGAAATATATTAAAAAGAATATTTCAATAGTTAAGCTAGCAATAAAGCAAAAAGCTTTTCATAGGTACCAATATCTAAAAATAATGACCAGACCAGTGACTATATTAAAAAATAACATATAGCGAAAACTGAGCAGAAGACAGAAGACATTTAGCAACTTAATTGTAAGGCAAGGTTCTAAAACTAAAATATGTATGTTGTAATTAATAAAGGAGGACTAAAATAAAATATGCATACATTTATATAGGCAGAAAAGACTGTTAGCTGTGATTTCTGGTTAAATTGAGAGATAAGACCATAGAACAGACTATTACTGTAGAAATCATAAAATGCCATCCTATGTTTCTTAGGGTTTTTTGGCTCACATTATTACCATTTTAGCACATTGTTCCAGAATCTTACTCTTCTTAGGGTCAGGAGTACCACAAATT